TCCCCCAGCCCTGCCTTCCCCTGCCCTGTCCCAGACAGTGTAGGATCCCCACCTGCTCCCTACAGGGAAAAAGAAGGAAACAGCTTAGGAGTTCCTGCAGGTTTATCTCCCTGTTGGCTCCCTCTCCTGCAGCACATAGCACACACAGCTGCCAGCACCTGCAGGCGTTTGTGCTCAGATGCACGCACACAAGTTTGCTCACACACGTGCACACACACAAAGCACCGGGATGCATTTGTGCCTGCTGACAGACACACACACACGCATGCACACGTGCACACACACGGCCCCTCCCAGGCAGGACACGAGTGTCTCGTAGCATGGCAGGGCTGTCTGATCCCGTCCTGCGCGGGACCCGCTGCGGGAGGCACTGGCAGCCTCAGCTGGGCCAACAGCCAGAGCCTGCGTCGCTCAGGGACACAGAGGAGCACCCAGAGGCACCTGGATCCCACGGGCTGAGCTCAGGGCTGAGCTCAGCTGCAGCCCGACCCACTGCGTGGGCACCAGGGAGCCAGGGGGGCCACAGGCACCCACCGTGCAGCGATGTGGTGTCTCCCACCCACCCCCCTGAGCACCGATGCTCAGCGCCTGGTTTCGAGGAGTGTAACCTTCACCTAAAGCAAGGGGCTGTGTTTGCTTTTGCCAAAAAACTGGTGTGCCAGGCAGGGCAGTGTGCAATTAGGTTTCTCGTTCTGTTACTTGACCTCTTAATATTTAACTAAATGGCAACACCGCTATGGCTCAGGGCACCTGGAGGCAGAGCAGCTGGGGTGGAGGGGAAAACCCCCCACAGTCCGAGCAGAGGGCAACACCCCCCGCCTTGCACACCCCCATCTTCCCACACTTTGCTGTTTCCCCTTGCAGTCTCCTTTGCTAGCTGGCAGGAAAACCAACATCAAACTTTCCCACCCCTAAACTTTCTACTCCATGTGTCAACGTGTAAGTTTTCTTTAGAAGCCACCAGGGCTTCACTCTCATCCAGCCTCCACACTCCTCAGCATTTGATGCCAAATGGGTCCCGTCAGTCCACAGCACCACACAGGAATGGTGAAGGGAAAATATTCGCAGCCCAGTGCAGAAGGGACCATCTTCCCTCCTCCCAGTCCTTTCTCATGGGACTGTGGGCAGTACAGAGGAGCTAGAGAAAGAACCACCTTGCATATGCCTGCCCCAGGGGACATTCTCAGGGTGGTTTGTGGCCCACCAGAAGCGGGGCAGAGTGGGGCACAGCAGAAGCCCAGTCCTGCTACTACTGTGTGGAGTCTCTGCTGGTTTATAAGGACCGAGCCACATGCTCCCTCCTGCTCCCCTGCCCATTTCCATCACATTGGGGATGCCACTTGATGCAGAGGGGTTCTGCAAGAGGGGAATCAGTGATAGTGGAAAGGATGAAACTTCTTCATTCACAGCTGCTGCCACAGTGTACCCCCAGGTACTCCATGATCCAGAGGTGCCACTTGCTGGGGCAGGACCTGAGGGCAAGCTTTGCACCATGCAGTGGATGGCTCTGGGCTGTGCTGGAGAGCTATGCCTGGTGCAAGAGGAGCAGGTGACGCTCAAAATACCTGCGGGTGTGACAGCGGGCAGGGTGCCAGGCAAGCTGAGTAAGCACAAACCTCAGGACACAGCTGTTCGGAGGCTGAAAAAAAGAGAGACAACCCAGCAGCCTGTGACCCACCCCCAACACTGGGCCTGTAGTGCCTGAGTGCCTGCACCACCACCACCAGTCCCATCTGATAACAACTGATCTGTGATGCAAGGGAGGGGGGGGAAACAGCCCTGACAAAGAAAGGAGACTCATCCCAGCCTTTCCAAGCTCCTGGCTGTGGGATGCTGTAGTGTTGTCTTCAGCTGAGAGGTGCCAGACTGCCCCACGCTTTTACTGTATAAGCAAAAAGAAGGCAAAAAAAGAGGGAAAAACCTCTCCACAATGTGTTGCACAGAGAGTAGATAAGGGCCAGGATGAGATGAGTTTCAAGAAGAGGCAAGGGGAGTTGAGTCACCGGAGTGAGTCACCCATGGGGAGCAGGTGACAGCAGGACATGCCTGGCTAGGGCATGTGGAAGAGGGTATCTGGCTGTGGGAGCTGGCCCACACAGTTCAGGGAGCAAGCATGGTCCAGATTCTCACCATTTGCACACATCCCTGGGAGCCCAGAGTTCCCATTGCCCAGTGGCACAGCCTCACACTTTCTGCAGAGCCCACTGATTTTGTCCTGGAGACTTGCTCGGGCTTCCTGCCGCGGGAAATTTTTGATGACTATGTGTAAGCAGCAACTTAACTGCACCTCAGCCTTCCTTAGCCCCAGTTAAGGCAGGTATGAGCTCTGAGAGCAGGCTGCCAGCAAGCACCAAGACACATTATTCCAGGCTTCTCCTCCATCCAGCCAACACCCATCCACTGGATTGTACAATCATGCAATGACACACTACAGGAAAATTGCATGGGTGGTCCCAGCAGGAGTTTGTGCTGCTGGAACCACAAAGTCCCCAAGGAACACTAAGGCAATGCTGTGGTACCCACCCGTCTCAGGAACCTCCATTGTCCCCAGAGGACCTTCTAGCTGAGCCACCTACCACATGCTGCTCTGCAGGGCTCATCCCCAGGTGACACACCCCAACTCTGCCAGGACAGCCACTGGGTCCTTGCCCTCAGAGCCAAACATGCTGTATAAGCAGCACTGCCACAAACTCCACCAAAAATAGACTTTCAGTATTATTGACATCAAAACTTAAAGGACATTCTGTACGGAAAGGCAGCGAGCACTGCACTGACACTGATTTGCTCCCAATTGTGCTGCACTGCTTGCACCTCAGTTTTTAAATGATGTATTCATGACTTCCATAAAACACTCGCCCCTTGCAACTGGAAACGGGTGGCTTTGGTGCTCCGGTGTTACCAGATACACACCTGCCCCTGTCTTCACAGCTCCAGCATTTTACACACAGAGCACGCATTTGGAGAAGAGCACTGTTAGGGCTTTGTTGGCTTTCTACAAAGGAGCAGACATGAGGATCACACACTCTTATAAAGCACCAAAGGTGGAGCTTTTGGAGTCCTCTGCCTGCCTGTTTTATTCACCTTCATGAAGAGGCACCAGCTGGGATGTCTCAGAGGAGCTCACCTGCCCCATGTCCTGCTCTGTACCACTCCTCTTCCCCACACCAGCTGCCCCTGGTACAGGTCTAAAAGATTTAAGCACTAAGAGCCACACAATAGTCTTGCTCCTCCTCAGGCACATGTAAGCTTAAGAGACATGTCCTGTGCCCAGTTTGTGTTTAAAAGCCTGAAAAACCTCCAGGAGTCATAAAACAGGCACACCACTGCTGGTTCCTAAGATTAGAAACATCAGCTCAGCTTACTGGTACTCACCTCTATGTCCAGAAAAAGAAGTGGTTCTCCCACCCTTGCTGGGATGGCAGTAAAGCAAACACAGAGATTTTGGTCTTACACCAACAGAAATGTTAGTATAGGGTCTCCTCCTGGTTTGGGGCTGTCCCAGGAGTTACAGCAGTAGAACCCCACTCTGTAAGGAGTTATGTACTTTTTTAGCTTTCTCAATGTGCAAGGAACAAAGCCAGGTGCGAATATGTACAGAATTCCTTGGGGTGGCACTGGGGTTCTTTGATTTTCTTCTCAAAAGATATAGGTGGTTGGTGAACACAGCTGGAAACAACCAGTCCCCAGACGGTCACAGTGCCCAGTGAGCCAGCCCAGCTCCGCGGCACGCCCAGCCTTGATGTTACCACTCATGCTCCAGACATCCAGAAACCAGGTCTCCTGGATCGAAATCACAGTCCTTCATTCTTACGAGCAGCCTAAGACACACACTGAAGCCATCTTCATCAACTGTTTTGAGGAAAGAGAAAGGTTGTGACAGGCAGAGGATTGAGATTCTCCTAAACATTTTAAATTAAAAGAGCTCTCCTCAAACATGTGGGTAAAATACTGAAATAATCACTTCTCTTGCTCTGCCATCTGTATCCAGCACAGTGCTACACACCTCCAGTTAAAAAAACAAAACACAACCACAAACTAAAGACAAGTCTTATTCTTAACTCACAAAATGATACATACACACGTGAAAGTTATCTGAAAAGGCATTGTATTTTGGTTTCCACCTTATTTAAACTGATTTTGGTTTTTAATCAAATCTGAATATATCTGAGTTCAGTTTTCAATGTTTTTTCCCCATAACAGTAATGATCTGGACGACCATAATTATAAAAGGGATGGGGAGAAAACCCAAGAACAAGCTACATAGTCTGACTGTGCTCTCTTCCACATGAGCAATCCAGGGAATGTTAGTTTCAGCTCTTCCTTTTTTTTTTTTTTTTTTCCCTTCAGGTTGTTTCTAACAAAATCTCTACCGTTTATTAAAGCAAAGCTACAGTAAATTTTCTTGCAGTCTTACAGCAGGTTTTCATATTACCAGCAGGACTTACATGCATGGATTGCAGTCACACACACACACACACTCACAGACATTATACAGTAGCCAGTTGCCACCAAAAAAAAAAAAAAAAAAAAAAAAGAAATAAAGCAGACATTCATTTCTTTTAAGTGGTCAACATTAGAATCGCACCAAACTTTTGGATCAAAAAAATAAAATACTGCACAGGTCTTCCACATCTACATAGTAAGTCATCCCTTCGCAATGGATGGAGCTCTCATCTCCCATTTGTTCAACACGCATCGCTGAAGCTTGAAGGCACACTGGCCAAGGAGAGCCCTGTTCTTGTCATCTTAACTCAAGTGTGCTGCTCTCAGGGTGCAAGAAAAGGAAAAAAAAAATAAAGCCAAGCCCTTTTGCAGCACATCAGAAAAAGGTCATTCGGAGACCACAGTACTTGGAAGGCAGCCCAGCTGCCTGGATTCTACTTCTAACTGTGCTCTTGGAGGCATTGAAGGAATACACTTGTCTTTAAAAATGACATATAAAGGCAAATTTCTGCAAATCTTTTCTTTTCAAACTGCTTACGGTAGACTAACACTCCCTTCTAGAAGAAACTGGTCCTTCAGTCACCAGCTTCAAGTGGGAAATTTCCTACCTGCTGTCTTAAACACTGAAGCACCAGAGATTATAGGGCTGATGTGTTCAGGTATTCAAAAGCTTCTGGAAACCTTAACACACACACACACAAAAAAAAAAAAAAAAAGAAGAAAAAAGCTAAAATGAAAATAGATCCCCAATTCCTCAAGAGCACTTTATCAAACCAGAACTCTTGGGCTACTGACTGCCAGCACTGTCAGAAGCTGCTTGCTTCTGGGAAGACACCTGGAGGTTCAAGCCTTATGGTGATTTCGTATCCTCCCAGGGTGAGATTTGCTGAGCTTTACTGATTGTGAAATAAAGCAGTGTTTTGGAAAACTGAAACCAACAAACTCATAATAACCATCACCAAAATCACCATTGGGAAAGTTCCATTTGTTAGAAAGTCTCACTGAGAAACATCAGTCCCTACCCCTTGGAGCAGGACAGACACGATTAACAAAACCCAGAGTGATCCCTCCCCCACAAACCAGGCCTTCAGGGACTAGTCCCCAAATTATATTGGATGGGGAGAAAGAAAAATAAAACTTAAAAAAAAAAAAAAAAGAAGGTTGTATCACCTTTTCCTCCTATTAAAAGTTTTAATCCTCTTATTCAATTTTTATTTCTTTGTGTTTTCCCCTGATTCTCCCCTCCACTTTCCCACCTTAGCTGGGGGAGTTATTGGTACGAGAGTTTGGAGAGTCCTGCTCATTTATTGTGTTCAAGAGCACACACACCGGCTGCCGGGGCAGGTGGTGGTGGCTGTGTTCACGGTGCTGCTCTTCCACAGCATTAAAAAGCCCTTCCTCCTCGTCCCCGTGGGGGCGGCCGCTGCAGCTGTCACAGAAGTCCAGGGGCCCATCCAGAGCATCATCAATGAGCCCGTTGAACTCCTTGAGATCATCATCGTGATGGCCCCGGTTGCAAACACAGACCTCGATGCCCGAGTCACCGGTGAAGCGGCGCTGCCTGCCCGGCGTCTTGTCCTTCGCCTCGGGAATGGCACTGCTCTGGTCTAAGCTCTCAGAGCTGTAACCTTTTAGCAGTTCCTCCTTGCACTCTGTATCCTTGTCAGGACTGGCTCTCTCCACTAGCTCGGCTCCCGTGCTGGTACTGCCAGGCTCCACGCTCTGCATTTTGGCAACTGCTCGCTCGACCAGCGTGGTGGTGGAGGGCTCAGGGTCCCCGAGGCCGGAGGAGCCAGTGTTGTCAGTGCTGCTGTTATTGCTGCTGGGTGCTGCTGAGCTGCTCTGTGCTGGCTGCAGGTTTCTTGGCGTGTCCGGGATTGTGCTACTGCTGCCTGCTGGGATGCACTGCTGATGTAAGGCACTATATGGTGGTGGGGGGGTCGGTGGTCGGTTCACCACTTCCTCATAGGGAGGTAGTAAATAATTTGGCAAAAACCCTAGAAGTAGGAGGCAAGGAGGAGAAGTTACTTCACGAACAGCTTATCTCAGGAAACAAGCCACTAATACAGGTCAGTATGTCATTTGTCATCTACCAGCACCTTCCCACTCGACAGCTCAACAGGCTTTACAAGGGGTGCCAAAACTTGGCCCAAATGAGACATGTCCTTTTTCAGAGAAGCAGCAATTGTGGCACAGGCAGGCAGCATTACAGGAGGAGATGGACATAGACAGGAACAGCAGTTTGATCTCCCTGCTCTCAAGTCTATGCTTACAGCTACCAGGCACCCCATAGCCCTGAACCCAATATAGCTCCATAAACCACAAAAGGAGATGGCCTGTGTTAGCTGGAGGGAACAACCTGGGAGGTAACTTGACAGCCCTCTCCAACACTGGCTTCTCAGCTGAGTTTTTGCTTTCAAAAGCAAAGATTTCATCTCACAAAGCTTTGTGCAAATATGAAGAGACATGAGCAATTACAAGGAACTTAGAACACTGGCTTTTGGTTGTTGTTTTAGTGCTGGATTCAATTGTTCTGGTGCAGTCAGAATCAAGTAGCAGTACTGGCAAGAGAGTTTGATTTATTGTACTTACAGTCCCTCAAATCTAGGAAAGATTCTGTTTCTTTTCTTCAGATGCAACAAAATAATCTATATAGACAGAATGGTCTTAAATACTGGAAAACATTTAAAGATAGCACTGCAGTTTTCCATGTGCAATTGCGTATCCCTGGGCCTGGGAAGTAAAGTGCTGCTGGGGACTGTTTCTGACATGGCTGCAAGTGCAATGGGAAAAGCAAGTTCATACAGGCAATTCAACAGTCCATTAGGGAAACTCAGTTGCAGTACCTCCAGTCAATAGGCCAAGACTTGCTGTTCTAGCACAGTGTAGCAGGGCACGACAGGAAGAACAAAGCAACTGTACTTTCTCTGAGCCATGGGCAACAGCTCATTCATGCAGACTCTCAAGGCTGCTCATCAACATTGTCTGGGAACTGCAGCACCGGGCAGGAGCCAGCATGGCTCCTCTCGAGGCACCACTTCAACCCAGCCTTTGTGACTGAATTTTGTGAAGCCACTTCCCACACGTCAGTTCCACCAGCAGCAAGCGCAGGCTGGAAAGGAGGAGCATCCATAAAGTCCTGAATGAGATATTTTAATAATTTTACCAGAAAAACACCCAGGGGATCACTGCACTCAGAGAAAAATCAAGAGTGGGTCTGAAAGTGCTGTAGCTGACGTGGTTCATTCTCCAGATTCAAGTGGGCTGAAATGCACCCAACTTCTGGAATACATCTCCTCCCCTCCATAAAGCAAGGTTAGGCTGCAAAATTGCCCTCTACCTCTTGCTGAGCAGTTCTACTCCCCACTTCCACTCAACATGGGAAACTGACTGCTGCCCTGCTCTCCACAACCTCCATGAAAGGCAGTGTGAGGTACGTACGGAAATAAAAGGGCAGGGCTGAATAGTTATGGGCCTCCCGGTAGGCGATGAGGTTGATCTCGTGTTGCCGCTGCTGGGCCTGGAGGCGATGCTTGGTGCGTCGGTGGTGGCAAACACAACAGCAGCTGAGGATGATGATGATTGTCCACACCAGCCAAAACCCTGAAGCGAGGGAGAGCAAGTGTTAACCACAGCACGACAGCTACATCCAACCCCGGGAAACCCCATGAAGGCCATCAAAAAGATCATCAGAAAGCCTGGATCTGAACCCTGCACTGCTCCAGAGGCAGAAACACACAGAGCACCAGGAGGCTTCAACACAGCCCCGCCTGCGTGGCGTGACTGCTACCTGGACAGCCTTGACCAAATCAGGTAACTGTACACAGTTTGGTACCATGTGGAGCATGTTCAGTAGGCACAACTCTGGAGGAAAACAATATACAGATACAGGGCTAAGCTCCCCCACCCTGATCCCTCCCATCCCTTGGATGTAATTTCTTCTAGCCAAAAATATGAGCAGAGCTGTGAATAGCATTGAACTTGTCTCCCACAGCCACTTTGGTTTGAAAAGAACAATTAAGACACAAAAGACACTCTGCAGATTGACCGCAGAAGAAGAGAAAAACCCCAAGCACTATGTTTTGCTTTTGTTTGCACTTCTTTTTAATTTCCAGCCCAAATCCTTCATTGTTACGCTTAACAAAAACATACTCTTTTTACATAAATGTCTCAAAATATTTTTAAAACTTATTTTTGTATGCAATGTCTTAAATTATCTGAAATTAAACTAGCCCCCCACTCAGAATCCTCAAGAAACCTGACTTTTGCTCTGTTTGTGGTCATGGCTGGTTTCCGTGCACTGTCATATCGCACATACACTGTTCCTTAAAAGGGAATTTTAAAAGAGCACTTCCTGAATTTTCTCCACTCCCTCCAACATGTGGAATAACCCCTCCTTTCCATAAATCCCCTTTCACACTTGCATGCACTAAAAAAATGTTTCCAAGACACACTTCAAAGACCTACAATGTTAACTCCAGGCGAGGCTTCCATCTCCTGCAACTACTGCTCACAGCTCTACCTGCCTCAGAGATGTCTGTAATCTCTTACCCTCTTTAAGCTCAGGTTTTGCAGCTGAGGATACCAGAAGAGCTCCCCTTTAGAAACATCTAAGTCTGGCACACAGTTGTCAGCAAGTTTTCTTTTCTAAGTCCTCTTTGTTATGTCCACACAGACCAAATGAAGACTCCTAGTGCTACAGTCCATTTTCAGCAAGGCTATTCTGTCCTGCTTGTTTCTCCCTAGCAAAGCCCTCTAGCCCTGCCTTTACAACACCTGGACGTTCTTGGCATCCTCTGCTGAGTTAGCAATGCTTTCTCTGCTAAGAGCTGGATAGGGAAAGGTGAGCAGTTTGGGAACTTGAGAAATGAGAGGAGTACTACTCTGGCTCAAGAGGAAGTGCAATTGACCCATATAACAGATCTCAGAGCCCTGCACTGTGCTGTTTGTAGGTGAACTGGATACACTGTATCGTGCCTCTGAGCATTTTGAGCAGGGACTTTCACCCCGTGTTGTAACCCAAATTCTCCATGTATTTTGGCACAGCAAACAGAAATATCTCTCTTGCCTTGTGCAACCATTTTCCCTAATGGCCTGGATTCCCCCTGATACCCAAACTCATCAAAACCTGCTTTCAAATGAAGGTGTTGCATGTTCCATTTTTTTTTGGCTTGGCTGGAAATCAAAGTTCCTATGCAGTTTTTCTAGCCAGCCTGCTCAGCTGTACCATGAAGGGCAGAGAGAAGAGTGTGATCTTCTCTCCAGAGAAGCATATGAAGCCCTTGAGATGCCCTCTGCGTTTCCATCAAACTGAGCTGCGAAAGTGTTCACTGCCCTCCAAACACCCTCTTCCTTCTAAAAAATCCTTTTAATGTAAACTATAAGGATTGATCTAGTCCACCCGTCCCTCCAAAGCCCAACACTGTCTTGCAGTTGGACGACTCCCACCAAAACTCTTTATTTCTTGTTAAAAGAAGGTCCCTTGGCTCTTGCTTGCTGAGGAAGCAAGAACACTCTCATCAAAACCGGGTCATTGGCAAAGCACAACACCATGCACTGAAGCAGGCCTGCAGTTCATCTTCCAAGTACTCCTTATTTTCAAAGGGCTGTCCGTGATCATGCATTCAAAAACAATGGAAAATTACACCCAGCTATCCAGGGATTTTAGCTACAGTTATGAAAACAGATGCTTTTAAACACATTTGATCATGTTCTTTCCCAAGGATTCTAGATGCAGTGGTAGAAGCAGCACTTAGTTAGTTAAGATGTCCTGGAGAATTGCCACTGTTAAGCAACCTCAGCTGTAGCAGCCGAATTTTTCTGCAGGGAATAACTGCTCCCACCCAAGCCTGCATCCAGAAGATTAGAAAAGTATTTCTTTAGAAAACTTCTCTACTCATTCCAAAGAAATCCCAAAGTGCTTTGCAGACAAACTGATGCACAAGCTCAGTGTAGGGGTCAAAGTAAGCTCAGCCATTCCTGGGAAGACGTGCAGCAACTCTGTAAACAACAGGCAGTAACAACATGCAACGGTCTAGGATAATAAATTAATGCTGGATCCTTCTGAAACCACAGGTGGCATTTTAAGTAAACAGAAGACAATTTACCGGATTGCACTCTGGCCACTGTGCCAGGAAAAACACCTCCATTCCCATGCAAATGGTCTATGCACACTTGCAACCACAAATGGATGAGATCTGTTGTTTTTCATGGGAATTTCAAGAAAAAGAACCCACTAATACCACATTATTGCTTGGTTTCATTAACCACTGACACTTCCTAGAGCTTCTAGGAATTACTCAACCCCTGACTCAGCATGAGAGCCCAAGAACATGCTTGGATTATCACAGGTCAGCATTGTGTGCCCACCACAGCCATTTGCTGTCCTGGTTTCTGGTGTCCTCTTTGATGGCTTTGCCCCCACGTTGTCACACAACAGCACCACAGGGCTCAGAGCCCCCCACTGCATAGGAAGCAATAGGATGGGGCACCCATAGGTGCTGAGGCACACAAGGGCCTTCTTGGTTTTTGCTTAAGCAGGGGTACCAGTGTTGAGAGACTGAGCAAGTGCAGCCCGGTTGCAAGCCCAGCACGGTGCTGGGAGTGCAGGCCCTCCAGAAAAGGCTCTACAACATGCCCTAGCCAGAAGTTTGGGCACAGATGCAACTTTGGCTACAGAACAGAAAAAAACTTAAAAGCCCAGCAAATCTATAATATGGTCATTTACCTGGAATAAAGCTATGTGTACAAGGCCAAGTGCAATTGTAAATATTATGTCTAAAAGTATGGAGCCAGCAGTGAAGATGTCCAGGGCTAAGCTGTGTGCATCTGTACACCTGGTGATGTTTGGCTACAAACCAGCAGCAGGGACGTAAATCAAGCAGACCACTGGCCCATGCATCCAGTAGGAGGGGTATGAGGAGAATTTCAAATTCACCCAAAGACAAAAAAACATGAGCAGAAAACACAGAGGCAGAGCATGGCAATGGTACACACTAACACCTCGTTCAAGGCAAAAGCGGGTACATGCTAAAAATGGGCAAGATGTACAAAGGCAACGGAAATTTGGCATTAAAAGGCCTCTAAAAGCCAAATAAAACTGGGGTTCTAATTGCCTTCACTGTCCCCAAAAGCATTTCTTGTGCTCCTCAACATGCACTTCCTTCTCAAATGGACACAAGCTGGTTTTCAGCTGCACTGTGCTGAGCTATTGCTGCAGTTACTGGAAAAGGGGAAAAGGTTAGGAGACACTGGGTATCCTGAGACAAGTTTGCCATTAAATGTCTGATCTGAGAGAGAGCACTTCTCATCACCAACCTGGCAGAGACCACCAGGAACAAAAGCTCACAGCAACCTGAGGACAACATGACAGCAGAGAGCAAATAGGGTCTTTGCACAAACAACTACAATGGGACAGCATCAACAGAAATGATACACCAGTTCAGAGGTAAACACACACTGGGGAACTGTCAGACATCAGGGAAATTTAGGCTCTCTCTTGGTTTATGGAAGAGTCAGAAGTGAAACACACTACAGCCCAAAAAAAGGCTAAGTCCAGAAAAACACTGCTGTATTATCTGTCAAATTCACTGGTGATGCCAAAGGGTGGATAAAGATACAACAAAAAGGTGAATCAGACACAGACATGGATCTGTGTTTTGCCAAGAGATTTCCCTGCCAGAGCACCAAAACCTTTCATAAAAAAGTACCACCAGCCTCTTGCCCAGTACCAGACAGGCTCAGAGCTGTTAGCTCTACATGAGCACCAAGTTCAGAGTCAGAATGGGAGCTGCAGAAGTACCTGGGAACAGAATTAGCTTCCATGAAAGCCAAATTTCACAAGCAGAGGCAATACCCAAGAAAGAGAATGCTACTACTTTCACAGTGCCCTTGGGAAAGAGAGCCCCATCACGGGGTCACACATTGGAGATGTTTGCTACAAGCTGTGAAATAACATGCCAGGCTTAAAGCTTCAAGAAAAACCTTTTAGGGACAGTTAGCAGAGCTTTGCCTAAACTTAAGAATAATTAAGACAAAATAACTGAAGAATAATAAAAAAAGAGCACTCCCTCCTCATAAAAAAGGGGGAAACAATGTTCAGTCTGATGCTGTACTGTGTTTGCTGCCTGGGATGTTGCCATCAGCATCCCCATTGAGTGAAGCTCCTTTTATCCTGTGCAAAATGGAAAATGTATCTGGAGCATTCCATGGGTAGGAACAGAGAAATCTGCCCTCAAGTTCACGGCAAACTTGGGTAAATGCCATTGCTCTGTTGGCAGGAAGCACCCTAAAAGCAAGCCAAAACACACTGCAAAGTGGTTTTGTGTCTGCCTGACAAGCATCTGGGTAATAGCTTTGGCTCCATGAGAGTTGGTTCTGAACAGAAGGAGAAGTAGGACAACTTAATTGACTAAAAAGTGATGTCCCAAAAATGGTGGCCTCACAGTCAGCCATGGCTGGAAAAAAAGTTGTCTTTCATAGGTCCAAAGCCACCATCAAAAACAGAAGAAAGATTTAATTGGTACCACAACCCAGTTGCACTTGGGTTTAATAGTGTCCTTGGCACAGAGACTGCATCGTCTCCTGCCACTTTAGACACGAGC